TCACAGTGCAATGCAATCATAAATAAACTTATTCTTAAATGTGTGTGTGTGTGTGTATATATATATATATATATATATATATATATATATATATATATATATATATATATATATATATATAATGCCCCGGAAAACATTCAAGCGTGGCGTAATGTCCTTCTGTTTGGCAATGTATGCCTTACCGTCCCTCCAATGAGGGACAAATCACTAGCTTCCTCGGTCCTGAGGGCGATAAATGAATACCCAAGGGAGGACAACCTAGTTCGCCTGCCCCTCCGAGCAAAACACACCCACCGCAGAAATGGTAACAACAACATACCGGAAACGTACAAAATTAGAGCACAAATTACCAATAAAATTGAAGAGGGAAATACCGCAAGTACTATTATAGTCCTCACCAGTGACGAGAAAATTGCTCCTCGAAACTCAGCCACAGCACGGGCCCTGCAAAGCAAGCACCCACCCACCCAAGAGGGGGAGCCGGTCGGCCGAGCGGACAGCACGCTGGGCTTGTGGTCCTGGGTTCGATCCCAGGCGCCGTCGAGAAACAATGGGCAGAGTTTCTTTCACCCTATGCCCCTGTTACCTAGCAGTAAAATAGGTACCTGGGTGTTAGTCAGCTGTCACGGACTGCTTCCTGGGGGTGGAGGCCTGGTCGAGGACCGGGCCGCGGGGACACTAAAAAGCCCCGAAATCATCTCAAGATAACCACCCAGAGCCCCTCAAGGCGACAACATCGTTCCGCCATCAGCCGACACCATTTCAGACCCATTAACCGTTGGTGAATCTGAGGTCTACAAAGCAGCCCTTTCTTTTCCACCTGGGTCAGCAAACAGCTTTACAGGGTTAAAACCTCAACACATCAAGCAAATGTTAAATCCTGCGGTTGGTGATGCTGCACAAGATCTTATGGAACTCACAAGGTTCGTCAACATGTGCCTGGCTGATGACCTGAGGTCATCAGGCCCCTCTTTTTTGGTGTCTCCCTCTGTGCTCTCAAAAAGAAGGACGAACGAATCAGGCCAATCGCTGTTGGCAACACTCTCCGACGCCTGATTGCCAAGGCTGCTACGAGGGTTGTCAGCCAGCAAGCGGCAGAATTGCTGAAACCAATCCAGCTAGGATTTGGAATCCCCCAAGGCTGTGAAGCGGCTGCCCATGCAGCACGAGCATACATCACCAACATTTCTGATGAAAAGGCCCTGCTCAAACTGGACTTTAAGAATGTCTTCAACAGGGTCAGACGAGATGCAGTACTTTGTGCCGTACATTGCCATTTCCGGCCCCTCTACCCGTTCATACTATCGTGCTACAGTGGTGAGTCAAAACTGCTCTTTGGTGAACATGAAATCAGATCATGTGAAGGTGTTCAGCAAGGTGATCCTCTTGCTCCCCTTCTTTTCTGCTTAGTCTTAAAAGAAATCACCGAAAGCTTGTCCAGCGAGTTCAACATCTGATTTTTGGATGATGGCACTATAGCTGGCACCGTAGACCACCTCTTGGCAGATATCAGGAAAATAAGGGAGCAAGAAGTAAACCTGGGTTTCGTCCTGAATCCTTCCAAGTGTGAAGTAGTCTCCTCCAACCCAGACATCGTAGCTAGAATAAAGTCTGCCTTGCCTGGAGCCCATGTCATTAGGGCCGAGAACAGCACCCTCCTTGGAGCCCCCCTTGGGTCTAACGCCATTGAGGAGATCCTTGACATGAAAATCGCAGACCTTAGGAGGATGGAAGACAGAATAGGTGACATCGATGCCTACAATGCTTTTTATCTCCTCACCAAATGCCTATCCCTTCCGAAGCTAATCTACTTTCTGAGGTGCGCCCCATCTTACGACAACCGAAAGCTTGAAGAGTATGACCTCTTACTGAAGACCATGCTGGAAAAAGTTGTTAACCTCTCCCTCAACGAATGCCAGTGGAAACAAGCCACTCTTCCTGTAAGGCTCGGTGGCTTGGGTGTCCGCACCGCCACCCAAATTGTTGTCCCAGCCTTCCTGTCTTCCTCATCAGCATCAGATGACCTGGTTAAGGAAATTCTACCTGACACCCTAAGTAATGTAGCGGGGATACAGGACCCCCACTACACGGAATGCGACACGAAATGGGGTGCCATGGCAGACCCAGCACTCAGACCAGCCATGCCGAAAGCCAAGAAACAATCCAGTTGCGACATCCCCATTGTAGACAAAGAAGCCACAGTTTTGCTGGAGGCAGCAACAATCCCCAGTGATCGTGCACGCCTCACAGCTGTGCAGGCTCCCCATGCAGGGGACTTCCTTTTGGCAGTCCCCATGTCTGCGACAGGCACACGCCTTGATCCGCAGGAGCTCCGTATTGCAGTCGCTCTCCGCCTTGCTGCCCCTATCCACACTGTTCATAGGTGTATTTGCGGCGAGGCAGATGCTGACGAATATGGATTGCATGGCCTGCACTGTGGAAAATCGGGTGATTGGCACACTAGACACGACGAAGTCAATGACATCATTAAAAGAAGCCTTGCCTCTGCTCAGTGTCCAGCGGAGAGAGAGCCCCGCAACCTACTGAACCGTGATTGTTAGCTTTGCCGGCCGACCAGACGGAATCACACTGCATCCGTGCAAGGGTGGCAGACAGTTGGTATGGGACTATACTTGCGTATCCACCCTGGCAACCACATCCATCAACCTCTTTGCCGGCACAGCAGGAGCCGCGGCGACACACAGAGAAAGACAATAGTCAGTCAAGTACAGGCAATTAGATCATCGGTAAAACTTCGTTCCAATAGGGTCTGAGGCCCTAGGCCCATGGTGTGAGAGTGCAAGAAGGTTTCTTAAGGATCTTGGTTCCAAGCTCCTTGACACCACAAGAAACCCTAGAGCGGCAAGTTTTCTCTCTCAGCGCCTCAGTGTCGCGATCCAGAGGGGGAATGCCCGCTGTATCCTCGGTTCCTGCCCGGCGTCGGAGGAGTTCGAGTAAATCTACAGCCTCTAGGAAGCGAAATTTTCTTGTGTCCTCTTAATGTTCATTTTTTGTATAAAATCAGATATGTAACTGTGTAACGTTGCATAATAAAGTGTACACCATAATAAATAAAAAAAGGGGGGTGGTAGGAGAAGCGAACACTCTTTCGTATTCAGAGTTAAATGAGAAGTTTTTCCCTGAATGCTCTGTGTTCCCTTCTCTGAGGCTGTGGGTCCCTATAATTGCACCAGAGGTGGTACCCCCCTGTATGTATATATATATATATATATATATATGTCGTACCTAGTAGCCAGAACGCACTTCTCAGCCTACTATGCAAGGCCCGATTTGCCTAATAAGCCAAGTTTTCATGAAATATTTGTTTTTCGGCAACCTAACCTACCTAACCTAACCTAACTTTTTAGGCTACCAAACCTAACCTAACCAATAAAGATAGGTTAGGTTAGGTTAGGTAGGGTTGGTTAGGTTCGGTCATATATCTACGTTAATTTTAACTCCAATCAAAATTTTTTTACCTCATACAAAATGAAATGGGTAGCTTTATCATATCATAAGAAAAAAATTAAAGAAAATATATTAATTCAGGAAAACTTGGCTTATTAGGCAAATCAGGCCTTGCATAGTAGGCCGAAAAGTGCGTTCTGGCTACTAGGTACGACATATATATACATATATATATATATATATATATATATATATATATATATATATATATATATATATATATATATATATATATATATATATATATATATGTGTGTGTGTGTGTGTGTATATATATATATATGTATGTATATATATATATATATATATATATATATATATATATATATATATATATATATATATATATATATATATATATATATATATATATATATATATATATATATATATATATAACCATAAACACCCAGAATGTGTAGGAAGCTATTTGGGGTATTAAAATCATACTATCCGCTATCTAAATTAACATAAGAAATAAATTACTAAATAAATATATAAATCTCACAAGTCAGTTTTCCCCACAACAGTTTCAGTCATGATTCAGAATCTAAGGTCAAAAGTTAAATTATAAAGCACATTACAACTTCGTAATTTATGGTTTGGTTCATGGAACAAATTACTGAGCAACAAATTAGACGCGGGATTACTGGATGATTTCAAGCGTAGGTTTGACATATATAACCGAGTGTGGGTAGGTATAAATAGGAGCAGCCTGACATGGGAATCTCCTATTGAATACTGGAGTGAACTGAACAAATCCACAGGCGACAGGAGGGTAGAAATAGCCTAAGCTACTCTATCCCTTTGAGATGTATTTCTTTCTTATCTCAATAAACATACTTGAACTTAAATTCACAGGAGCCTTGATGATGGTTCGAACCTATGCGATAAGTGTTCCCAGACACGCTCTAGTCAACTGTACCACGACATTGTAAGAGAATTACAACCTGGAGTGCTACTTCCCCCGCGAGGATGCTTTTATGACCAAGTAAAAAGTGACCGACAGACGATTCTCGTTCTCATGTCATTTGTTCGTGCCTCGCTTACGAAACCTCCCGGGGAACCGTGCCTGTGGGGTTATCTTGAGATGATTTCGGGGCTTTAGTGTCTCCGCGGCCCGATCCTCGACCAGGCCTCCACCCTCAGGAAGCAGCCCGTGACAGCTGACTAACACCCAGGTACCTATTTTACTGCTAGGTAACATAGGCATAGTGTGAAAGAAACTCTGCCCATTGTTTCTCAACGGTGCCCGGGATCGAACCCGGGACCACAGGATCACAAGTCCAGCGTGCTGTCCGCTCGGCCGACCGGCTCCTCCAACCACCAACTGTTTATGAGAATCATGTACCGAGACAAGTCTAATATTATTGTTTTTTTTTAATTAATGCTGTTTTAGCATACATTACTCCATAAAGTTTGTTACTTATGTGTTGATATGTTAGACTATAAGATTTCTGCTTGAAGGTCGATGAGGGGGATGATAAACTTCATATCAGTCATAATATATATAATTTAACAGTAGGGGTCAATTATGTATATACATTATATTACAGCTTCGTTATCCAAGAATGCTAACTCTTGCTTATCCCATTTTAATCCGATGGTTTTCATCAAGAAATTATAAGCGATGATACTACAAGGCGATCAAATGGAGTACAGCATCTCAGTTCCGTTAATATGCAACACTCAGCCAGTCAATATTCCCAGCTATGGTAAGATATTTTCAATAATTATAAATAGAATAACAAGCATCACACATTCGAATGCATCTGAGTAATTATTGCAGATATTTTCCTAATGGTAAACACTGAAGTTGGGATGAGCAAGAGGTGAACAATGTCTTCGTCGAGGAATGTATTAACAATTATTATATACTATTCCGGGGTAGGTGCAGGCAATGGAGGCGGAGATGGTGACGGAGCGGTTGGTGGAGTAGGTGGTGACTGTGGCGGTGGTGCTGGCGGTCCTCCACACCGTGAAGAAGAACTTCTCCCGTTCGTCAAAATCACCCAACACACTGCTGTCGAGTTCCTTAAGGTCGTCTTGAGAGGACAAGTACAGCTTTGCGTTTTTCATGCGATGAAGTCTGCGGCCAGAACACGCGGCTAGTCCAGCCCCGGCTGCGGTAATCACAAGAATAATTAAACAAAGTTGCAGCAACAGAGTAGCTAGCCGATAAGATGTTTAAACATTATTAACTGTATGTATTTCCATGCTGGGGGTAAATATAGTGATGGAGGGGATGGAGATGTAGGAATACAGGGTTTTTCATCTCGTGAGGGATTATAGGTGGCCAGCTAGTGTTGTACACGTGTTGGAATACATGTGAAGCAGGTGTGCTGCAGACTTACTGGTATAACAGGTGTAAGGGACGGTGGAGGTGAAGGAGGAGAGGAAGGTCCAGGTGGTAGTGGAGTAGGACTTCACGAAGAACTTGGCGTCACCGGAACCTCCATCATCTGCAAAGAGCAACAGGGAAGAGTCAACATGCTGATCAATCCCACCAGTAATCTCGGTAGACTACCACTCGGTAAACTGATAGACATTGACACAGCTAAAATACAAACAGACTACAAGTATCTAGCAGTTCAACTTATGGGGATCTAGATCACACGGCGCATAAAGTATGTGGACGAAGACACGGACACACAAACATTTTATTTTTTGTGCTAAAATTTAGCCATTTTGAGACTATTTGCGTAAATTTGCGTTGCATGAAATGGCAAACATTTGATTGTAAATTATAAAATATAGTTTATTTGGTAAGACTTTCTAGATTATGGAAAACACCGAGTGGTCCACAGAACATGCTCCCTGGTACACGCCACCTTCCCAGGTGACGATCTATCCTTCCCAAGAGACGACCTGCTCCCCCACACGACGACAACCATCATCTACACGAAGACCATCTCCCTTAGAATAACTTCCCAGTGAAGACCCATTCTCAATGCAACGACATTGGGAGTGGGTCTTCATTTGAATACTCCGCCGGTGGTGGTCATCGTATTGGGAAGAAGGCCATCTTCCCAAATGAGGATTTTCTCACCAGGTGACAATCCTCCTCAGGTAAGGACTTTCCCCAACTGACAAGTGGGAATATTCTTATATATTTATCGAGTTTTCACACAATAATTTTACTTGTGGAGGTGTCACTACCTTTTTCGTTGTTCTCTTCTGCCGCTGTAGAGGTCAGGAAGAGGAGGACCCCTACTGCTGCTGCTGCTGCTGTTCTCTGAAACGAATTTCCTTTGTTATTAGTATTTCAAGCTGCTGCATATGGTAGCAGATTAGGAGTTTGTCTGCTAGTAATCAAAAGATCGAGAAATTCTGTAGGAGCCATGTGGAGGATTCAAACCTACACACCGGGTACTCCCAAGTATATGCCTTAGACCACTTAACACCGACAGGCTCAAATGCTAACAATCAGAAGATTGTTAGCTGCTGGTAATGTGTCGGAAAATCCGACACCATTTAATAATCATACAGATAATAGCTGTGTTGTATAAACAAGTTACCCATAGAAAACGTAACTTGTAGTGGAATTACCATCTAAAGAAAACGGGATATCATCACCACATACTATTATAAATCACCACCTATTATGGTGGGAATTATTCTTAAATACATTAGTCTTTGGACTTTACCATCACAAAAACATCTCATATAAATTAACTTAATTATCAATATTAAAGTAGAGTAAATGTGACCCTTCTATCACTTTCTGAAATGTGGACAATGTAAGCCAGGCGTCAGAGTGAGGAGGAGGGCAGCCATTGTTTATATTGAGACCAGAGGCTCACACGGGAGCAAATTCGGCTCCTGTTAAATTTACTTGGACGAAGTGTTATGGAAACCAAAGGTACACCATTATCACACGCTGTCTACAAATTCAAGTTAAGTGTCTATCCGAAACCCGTTTATCATTCATTTATGGCCATTAATGTCAGGATATAGGGTGATCCAGTTAGATCACGAAATCGCCTCAAACTAAAGGTAATTAAGCCAGGTCTTCATGTTCCATGTACAGTTTTCTCTGATATAGCTTGTCATATATAGGATTCTGGCTTCACAGCTAGCGCACTTTTGACAGGTCAAGACGAGGAAGGAAGATTTGTGCACCAGTTACTGGGTGATATGGAAGCTACCTCAAAGAGGATAATTTGGTGTCTACACCCTAGTTATACCTGGTGGACTAGTCTGCTGTACTATAAGATAAGGAACCTCTTCAATGTTTAATAATGTGTAGTTAATACTGTAGTTTGATTGGCTGCATATATATTCAATTAATAAACCCCCCTAATGTGTAGAGGATCGATTTGTGAGATTTTGAGATTATTGCAGAAATACAGTCCACTTATCATTATACAAATTGCTATCGAAGTATATAAATTAACGTAAATATAAATTCATATAAATTAAATAAATATAAATCTCACAGGTCGGTTCCCACATAATGGTCATAAGTGCTCTCGCAGTACCAGTAGAGCCTTCCTTGCATACACAGACTAGAGCTAACAGATCAATAAAATCTCTTTATCTAAACATAATGAAAGATTGACATATCTTAGTGACTAAGATATATGATAAGACTTAGTAGGGAAAATGTTGCCTGGGGAAGATATACAAACTGGCGTATTCCTATACACGTCACTAATACAAAATCTTAATTAGTGCATAAATCTCAACACCTAAAAATTAACCTATCAAAAGTAAAGACGGAAAATGAAAGAGGTGACAACGCTTTCTGCAGTTCATTGTTATTATCTCAAAGCAATCACGATAAAAATTAAAAACAGCATATATTATCAATGCAGCAGGTTAATCACTCAATAAATATATAATTATGACGAGCTCAACTATAGGAACTTAGCCTTGATGAGGCGTTAACACAAATAAATGGCTACAATGACAACAGTGTTTAATATTTACGCAACGATTTTATCACTCTAATCCTCTACCGAAACTAAATATTTAAATCATCAACAAATATCCTAGTCTTACGTGAATAGTTATGCAATACAATGTTCTTACATATATAACACTTTATTAAATACTTACTCGTAATCATTAAGCAAATAATCGTAAACAGCCTTATCCTGAAATGTGAGATGTGACAACTGATTACGTCGCTTTTCGCTCGTATGCGCGCACAGGCTAAAATAGGACGTCCTAACCTACCAGAGGACCCTTAACATGCTATTTTGGAAAATAAAAATAAAATTTTTTGTTTTTAATTATTTTTCATCTTCAAATTACGGCCTTTTTTGACCGTAGGGCATTCGAGCGAAAAGTGACATAATTTGTAAGAGGACGGGTTGGGCCGATTGACTCTTGCTGATGGGCAACGTCGGCTAATATACCGTTTACTACTTCACTTGCTATATTCGCTATCTAGACTATTAGTGTTTATGTTGTTGTTATGATAATTTTGGCGTTGTACGCGTATACCCAACATGTATGGCCTTGCAATGTTCAATATTGTCAGTCCTCTAACCATTTGCCGAATTCATGTATATAGTTTAGAAAGGCCTCAATATAATTTCACTTACCACTTTTCCATAGATTTATAAGTCATCTGCAAATTTGGTGAAGTTTGTGATTTTCTCAAATATGTTGTTGATGCGTATTACAAAAAAAAGTTATAAAATTAAATATTTGGGGAATCCATGGAAGGGGGGTAGAAATAGCCTAAGCTACTCAATCCCTATGAGACGTATTTTTTTCTTGTCTCAATAAACATACTTGAACTTGAACTTGGAGAATCCACTCATAATATTTGGCTTGTCAGATTATTTCCACCTATATAACACGACTGGTACTGTTAGGTAGCAGAATAGTGTTGGTGTGGTTTAGTGTTGGCCTTAAGACCACCGTAGTAGATTAATAGTCAACTAGCAAGTATACTTTTCCCTTGAATATAGTCCAGGATGAAAATAAACCTTCAGTGTAATTTCACCGAAAAGATGGAATGAGTTGGTGTGAGCTTGAAACCTATCAACCACTGAAGGGATGAGTATTTTTTACAACTTAACTAATATAAGAACTACAGCAAACTCAATGAATTTCCACTATAAGAAATTGTTTTTGAAATTTAAACCCTCGATTTCTTTATATATATATATATATATATATATATATATATATATATATATATATATATATATATTGCAGTTGTTTTAGATTCAGCTACTCGGAATGAAAGGTCAAAGAAATTTCACTGAAATATACATTTTACTGATGTTCCCCCGACTAACTGCTGGATGCCTATGTTCTCGAGAGATATGAAATGTGTCTCAGAATAAAAACATAACCAATTTGGTCACTATAGATATATAAATCGCAATACCTTTTTTATTTATTAATTCTTCTACACAGGTGGGTAAAGGAACAGACGACTGCTGACTCCTGTTAGCAGGATGAGAGCTTTCCCTTCCCATAGCTCCTTTAAGCCTTACCTATAAGATTTCCTGGAACTGTGATTCCCAGTGTTGAGATATCATGCAAAGTATAATATAAATACATTATTTAAAAACTATTGAAGAAAAACAGTTCTGTTGCCATCTATAGTAATATTTCACATAAAGTGTATTCGGATATTGTGACGCTCGATATTAAACAGCAGCCACTGGATTCTGATTCAATATAGTCCGCATATCACAAGGATATATAACCCGAGAGGAAAACCCATCTCCTAGGCGTAAATACACCGAGAGGTGTACATTTTACATTGTTCCTGTACACTTTGTACATGTATAAAAGAAAATGTACATATATGCTCGTTAGCGTTGTGAATGTTTGGCCACGTCTGTGGTAGAAAATAATAAATTAAATAAAAATATCGAGTGGTGTACCCATCGTGTTTGTATATGGCACCGAAACGGAGGGAGTACCCAGCTTCTAGGTGTATATTCACTGAGATGTATATCCATCTTTGTGTTTATACACCGAGAGATATACCCATCTTGGTATATATACAACGAGAGGTATACTCATCTTGGTGTATTTACACCGAGACCTATAGCCATCTTCTCGCTATATAACCCGAGAGATATACCCATCTTCTCGGAGTATATACAATGAGAGGTTACTTTTGTTCTGCATAAGATTCAGAACAAAATATACTTGCTGGGAAGCTAGTGTCACGGAATCTTCCTAAGAATCTTCCCGCGATCGACAGGCCTCAAGCCTAACACTAAACAAAAACCAACTGATGTTTTTGTTCTCGTTTTCTCTCTTTTCTCTTCTCCGCTCTCTCCCACAATTCTCCTCTCCTTTTCCCTTCACAAATCAACACAACGAGCACAGGCTCTTACCCTCATCCTTGCTTCCTGGGCACAACATAGGTTAACGAAGATCACCCACCTTTATATACATGGACGGAAAACGTTAATACAGGGATAAATATGCACTTAAACCATTTCTAACCTGCTACTTCCCATAACACGGAAGTAATGGCTGAGGAAAACATGCATACAAGTGCCTCTCACAACGAGGTACGTATAAGTTGAAAATAGGCCAATTACGATTTATTTATACTCGCAATAAAGATCTGCTACCCTGGTCTATGTGTATCACTGAGCAATTATAAAAATAATAGGTGTATGGCGAGTTAAGGAGAGGATAAAAACATACTCTTGACACAGGTGACGGCGGAGCCTAAAATAGTAACGAGGAAATGTATTAATGATAATCCCGGCATTGAAGGTTCGCCTTGATGTAAGTGAGGTGCGAGGCTTCTTGGGGTCTGTCTGTTTATCTGAAAGCTCGTACCCCTGTACCTGTATGTGTGAGAGACCATACCACTGTATGGTCACACATACAGGTGTATGTGTAAGAGACCATATCACTGTACCTGTATGTGTGAGAGACCATATCACTGTATCTGTATGTGTGAGAAACCATACCCCTGTACCTGTATGTGAGAGACCATATCACTGTACCTGTATGTGTGAGAGACCATATCACTGTACCTGTATGTGTGAGAGACCATACTCCTGTACCTGTATGTGTGAGAGACCATACCGTTGTACCTGTATGTGTGAGAGACCATATCACTGTACCTGTATGTGTGAGAGACCATACCGCTGTACCTGTATGTGTGAGAGACCATACCATTGTACCTGTATGTGTGAGAGACCATACCATTGTACATGTATGTATGAGAGACCATATCACTGTACCTGTATGTGTGAGAGACCATACTCCTGTACCTGTATGTGTGAGAGACCATACCGTTGTACCTGTATGTGTGAGAGACCATATCACTGTACCTGTATGTGTGAGAGACCATACCGCTGTACCTGTATGTGTGTGAGAGACCATACCGCTGTACCTGTATGTGTGAGAGACCATACCATTGTACCTGTATGTGTGAGAGACCATACCACTGTACCTGTATGTGTGAGAGACCATACCATTGTACCTGTATAAGAGACCATACCATTGTACCTGTATGTGTGAGAGACCATACCATTGTACCTGTATGTGTGAGAGACCATACCATTGTACCTGTATGTGTGAGAGACCATACCATTGTACCTGTATGTGTGAGAGACCATACCGCTGTACCTGTATGTGTGAGAGACCATACCATTGTACCTGTATGAGAGACCATACCATTGTACCTGTATGTGTGAGAGACCATACCACTGTACCTGTATGTGTGTGAGATCATACCACTGTACCTGTATGTGTAAGAGACCATATCACTGTACTTGTATATGTGAGAGACCATACCACTGTACCTGTATGTGTGAGACATACCACTGTGCCTGTATGTGTGAGAGACCATACCCCTGTACCTGTATGTGTGTGAGAGACCATACCACTGTACCTGTATGTGTGTGAGAGACCATACCACTGTACCTGTATGTGTGAGACATGCCACTGTGCCTGTATGTGTGAGAGACCATACCCCTGTACCTGTATGTGTGTGAGAGACCATACCACTGTACCTGTAAGTGTGAGACATACCACTGTACCTGTATGTGTGAGAGACCATATCACTGTGCCTGTATATCTAAAAGACAATACCATTTATTTATACGTGTGCAGCCCGGTCTCTTGAATAGTGCATCGCATTTTGACGTCTTAAATCAATTTATTTACTAAAAATCATAGCGGCTCACAAAATTGACGTGATGTCACGTTTTCTATTCGTGGGTCCTCGATAGGATTAGGTTCTGGCAAGTTATTAGTACCCAAGGGAAAAGACTGGGGACGACTACATAATTTGTTCTATTATCTACTCTCTATCCATGGTTAGGATATGAATGTAGGAAATGAATAAATCACTTTAAAAAAACAAGCTTGTAAGGGTTTATCACATTAAACAATATAATAATGTGTCATTTGAAACGGTATTGTCTGACGACATCACCTGGAAATAGGTACTATGCTTATATTGGTGATTGGATATGTCCAAATTAGAACTATCATGAAATCCTTTATATTTCATACTAACCTGATGGGCTGCTTGAGTGAAACATGGAAAATTTGAGGAAAGTGCCACTGGGAAAGGCACAGCTTGGACGAGCATGGTCTCAGGATGGTTTGGGACGAAACTGAAACGCCTTATGTAACCTAGGCCTAACAATGAACTAAAACTAGAGTGTATAATATTGTTAATTGGTAAGTAAGATAATACTGTCTTGTTCACAGTGCGAACCCAGGCGCTTTCGTCTGGGTTCGTATCCTAGCCGGGGAGGATTGAATGGGCGCTAGTCCTCACCTGTAGCCTCTGTTCACTCAGCAGTGAATGGGTTCCTGGTTGTTAAACGATTAGGCGGGTCGTATTCCGGGGAAAATTAGGATTAAGGACCTGCCCATAACGCTATACGTGCTAGTGGTTGTACAAGAATGTAAGAACTCTTGCATATATAACAAAATATATACATATTATACTACACTGCAAGGACGAGAACAACCCGTCCTCCTAATAGAGCGTCGCATGTTGACGTATACTCTACCGAAGACCAAAAATTGTCTTACTAAAAAAATCGTAGCGGCTCACAAAATTAACATACTCCCGTTTTCTGTTTTAGGTCCTCTGGTAGGATGGGATAGGGCATTTTAGTACGACAGTTTCTTGACGTTGGCAAACCTTTGGAGGACGGGCTGCGAGAACGACTTGCGGATATATATTATGGGTTGTGTAAATCACACCGGTCAATCTAAATAAACAGCCTAATGTATCTAAGGCTAACTGCATACAAACCCATAATATATAGCAATATTAAATTATATTTGAGCAATCCGTTCTCCTGAGCGTTTCCACAGTCTTTAAAGTAATGTACTAAATTGCCCAAACCTAACCTCCCCGAGGACCCTCAAATAGAAAACGGGGCATAAAGGCAATTTCGCGAGCCGCTACTATTATATCCCTTTTTCACCTTGGTAAAAGTACAGTATACCTCAAAATGCGATGTACTATTTGGAGGACGGGTTGATTTGAGAGTACTATTTATTGTTTCACGAAAAACTAAATTCATCTTAGTCGGGTTCATAATGTGTTGGTTGAATACTATTATGATGATCACTGTGGCCAGACCATTTATAAGCTCTCACATAAAAAGTTAGGAAGAATGGAAGGATGAGAAAATTCAAATCATCAATCTAATATTATATATATTAAAATAGGGGTCAATTATGTATATACATTACAAAACAGTTTCGTTCTCCGAGAATGTTAACGCTTGCTTTTCCCATTTTCATATGACTGTGTTCATCAAAATATTAAATGCAGAGGTATTATTATGTAATTAAATTGAGCATTGCATCTCATTTTTTTTCAATATATGACCCTCAACTGCCGGTCAATATAACTATGGTAAAATATTTTAAACTAACCTCCAGTGTTTTAACTAAGATAGTTTGATTATCAACGGAATAACAAACATGACACTTTGGAATGCCTGGAGGAAATTGTTGTAGATAATTTCCTAAATATTATGAACACAATGCTGATGGAATGAGCAAGAGATGAACAATGTCTTCGCATCGATGAATGCCCTAACAGTTATTGAAAATAAATCCGGGGTAGGTGCAAGCAATGGAGGCGGAGATGGTGACGGAGCGGTTGGTGGAGTAGGTGGTGACGGTGACGGTGGTGCTGGCGGTCCTCCACACCGTGAAGAAGAACTTCTCCTGGTCAGACTCGTCGTCCTCCGAGAAGTCGACAGAGTCACTTTGCACGCTGCTGTCGAGTTCGTCATCCTCTGCCGCAGGTGACAAGAACATCTTCATGCTCTTTTTGCGGTGAAGTCTGCGGCCAGCACACCCCATGGGTGACTTAGTGCCCGCTAGTAGGATCACAATGACCATTAAACCATGTTACAACATTAGGTTAGGACGGTAGCTTAAGTGAAGCCCCTATAAACTAATAAGTAAGATGTAATTGAACATGTAATAACAAAGTAAACTTATAGAGTAACATTAAGCTGTATAAAGTATCAATAAACAAATACACAGTAAGAACATTATTAAAAAGTAGTTAACAAAGAGCCCGTCCTCAGAGCAAACTCATTATAGGTAGAAATCTATTACAAATCAGCAGATAGGAACAAGTCAAAAATAGCTAACCCTTGGGATAATCAAGCGTACTTTTGACTTTTAGGAAAAGAAGGCAGTGATTCAATTGTATAAATCTGGTACGCCTACATTTGGATTACTGTATCCAAGCATGGAGAACACGTCTTCAGAAGGAAATGGTTGCTCTGGAGAAAGTACAACAACGGGCAACAAAAATCATTCCAGAGCTAAGCCAACTCACGTATCAGGAACGGTTGAGGGCCACAGGGCTTGATCCGCCCTGTCATGCAACGAGGCATGACAGGGCAGATCTCATTGAAACTTTTAAAATACTGAACAATTTGGAAGACGCTGATCCGGAAAATTTCTTAAAGCAGTTTGATATAACACAAACAAGGAGCAACGATTTCAAGCTCAGCAAGCCACAATGTAGGATTGAGAACAGGACATGCTTTTTCACCCACAGGGTTATAAGCCCATGGAACTGCCTACCCGGTGAAGCCGTAAACGCCAAAACTCTGTTAAATTTTAAAGTACAGCTGGAAATGATCAGCAAGGCAAATAGGGGGAGCTTCGACAAGCTGCCGTTTTCCTGTCCTCGTCGAAGCCACTACTGTTAGTGGGCCTCAGGTAAATTACCTCGAGGGACAAACCACCTGTATAGTTACCTAGATATTTGTGATGGTCTGAAACCATATTACAGTTCCAATAATAGTCTACTTGTAAACTGGCAAGTGAACCGTTGTCCTAAACAGTAATTATTCTTAAGTTATAACTTTATTGTATTATA